CCTGGCGCTGATCCTCTAGGAACTGTTCGACATCTTGTATGTCTGTTTTGCGCCAAGCCGATTTGTTTTTCTTTGAAATACGTTTCTTCTTCATCACAGGTTCCTGCACAGCCATGGCGCAAACACTTCCAAGTACTACGGTACCGCAACGAAAACAAAATTTCGATTTCAACACGTGCAAACTGCTTGCGGTACACAGCACTAAAAACGAACTGAACGTTTGAAAAGCGATTAACCAACACTGTGCCGCAGTTGCCGCAAATATGTTTAATCAGCTGTTTGTTGGAGCCACACACGTTACGACTGCAACACAAAAATTGTATGCCCACACCGACCTACACTACATACAATTGCGAACAATTGTACTGCATATTAAATTAAATGTTACAATGCTAACACGCACACATAGAACTGTTGTAAAATTATGGTTGCCTATTAAAGCTACAATCCACAGTGCTGTTAAGCAGTGACTGTTAATCAGCTGTTGGGCCGGCCCACACACGATACGACTACAACAACCAACTGGTTGCCGCAAATAATGCATACACACCTGCCTGCCTGCCTGTACAGTTAAGTTTTCTTATCTGTGCTGCGTGGGCGTGCTCTTGTTTTCTCTCTATATTTGCAGTGAGCAAAAAAATTGTTTGGCGGCAAATTTGAAGTGCAGCATTTGAGTGGCTGAAATCAATTTAATCAGCAGCGTGCTCTCAGAACACTCCACAGTCTCTCACGCGGTGTTGACCACGTCAGACATAGTTGCCAATAAATTGATCTTATCACAGATACAAATAGTTTTGGTAGGTATACACACACGCACAGACAAACACATTCACACACGTTTGCACATATGTACATACACACATGCGTGCGTTGTCTGACGTGTACCAAACGCAACGCAACTTTCTGCACAGATTATTATTATCAATTAGTTTTATAAATCTCGCCGAATCGCAGCAACAGGCAACAGTAGGAATCCAGCAGTCAGAATGGCCGAACCAGCATTTGCAGATATATCCGCCAAGTTCACCGAGGCAACATTGGATGAGATCATTCAGAACGCCGGCGGCACCAAGCACACTTCATTTAAGTTTGGGGAGGGCGGCAAGAAGGGCGACTCCTACTTGAGTCGCGTATTCCGGCTGTGCGTTTATGGCGTAAAGGAGCCGGAGGGCAAACAGCTGGAGGTGAATGTCGTTATCAAGGGCATGCCGGACAATTTGCACAGGCGTCGACTGTTCCGCTCCACGGACTTTTTCCGCAACGAAATTCATTTCTACACGAAGGTCATACCGGCAATTGAGGCTTTCCAGGCCTCGCGTGAGCCCAAGCCCAAGAAGCCATTCACGGAGTATCCCAAGTGCTATGCATCCATCTGTGATGGCGCCAACGATTTCATAGCTCTCGAGGATGTGGGCTTCCGTGGCTATCGCTCACCCAATCGGTAAGTGGAGCACATATTATGCTTTTTCCATAATCATTAAATTTAACCATTTCAGCCAGAACTACATCTCGCTGGAGGACGCACTTCTCACCATGCGCACCATAGGCCGCTATCATGGCGTGGCCTTGGCGTTCAAGGCTCTGGATGCGGACAACTTTGAGAAGGCCGCCGGTGCATTGGAGGAAACCTACTATGGCGAGCATACGCGTGAGTGGTACAAGGACTTTTTGCAGCTGGCCGAAAAGGTGGCTCTGGATGCCGTAAACAAGACATTCCCCAACACCAAGTACGAGACGTTGGCCACCAATTTTTTGCAGCCTCAGTTGTTCGATGATCTGATCAACTTGGTGTCCACACGCTCCAAGCTGAGCGTCTTTGGACATGGCGACTGCTGGACGCCCAACTTCCTGACCCGCTACAACGACGACGGTGTACCGCAGGAAATCATCATTATTGACTATCAGCTGGCGCGCTGCGCCTCTGTTGCGCTGGATGTCAGCTTCTTCATATACTCCTGCACCAGCCAGCAGTTGCGCGAGGAGCACTACGAGGAGCTGCTGCGCGCCTATTTGGAGAGTGCCCAGGCACTTATCACAGATCTGGGCGGCGATGCAGAGGCGGTCATCTCTTGGGAAACGCTGCAGGAGGAGCTGAAACAATTTGGTCGCTTCGGCTGCGGCATGGGCATCGAGTCGCTGCCCATGTCGCTCATCGAGGACGACGAAGTGGCCGATCTGGATGCCATTGTCGAGGACGCTGTCCTCACCGATGTCTGGAACATAACGCCCTTCGAGCAGCCCGCCAAACAGCAGCGCATTGCCGAAATCTTCAAGCATGCCATTGACCAGGGCTACATCAAGTAATCCGGCAGCCAACTACCAGCCAACATCCACCGGACGCGCCTCGCTCAATCTTCAAGACAATAAGTTTAACGATGTATTTTAATTGTATTTTGGCCACCGAACATTTGTCTCGGCTGTTGCCCCATATCAAGTTTTGATCAAATACTGAGACGAGCTACAAGAACTCAACTAATAACGATATTATAACTATAACATTAAGACACATATCTGCATATAAGCATACAAAATATTCTGATCAACTGATTGTGCCACTCACTATTATTATTTAAAAGAATACACATCTCAAGACCGAATGTACCGAACAAATTGAAATGCGAGTCCAAAAGTATAATCATTTGATTGAACTCTATAGAATGTTTAAGCACTTGCTTTGACATTTGTATACGACTAGCTGGTATTTTCCGGCCTTAAACAACCATCCATATTTGTCGTGGATAATTTATGTCTATCTGTATAATCATGTGCTCCACGTCTAAAGTAATGCTTTACATAGATATTTGAAAATGTATGTGAAGTACCGCGAATGTAAAGCCAAAAGTTGCAATTAACACGTTCCGCTCACTTTAGTCTCTTGGCGAGAATCTTGATGTTGTAAAATAAACTTTCGTTTAAATGTCCTTTGACTCGCATTTTCTATCCAAAAGGACGCGACATTATTGGGTATCCTAAGCCCGGGTTGGATTTTGCGAGGATTGTGTAATACGTGTTAAATCAGTTTTCACAAAGATCATTCACTCGTATTCAAACTTACGAAATTTTGATAAGGATACTTGGAAAATGATTTGAACCTGAAACTTTGCTAAAGGCGTGCAATGCGTTTCAAACGAATTTTCTAAAGGATCTTTGCCAATGAGTTCACACGTGAAACTACGCACATTCAACCCTTGACACGCATTTATCATCCAAATAGGGTGGATTTGACGAAAAGTGAAACACGAATCAGACGAATTTTTACAAAGATCTTTGAAAATGATGCTCTAGCCGATCGGATGGTAAACAAAATTGTGAAATTTCTTCCACCTCCATCACATAAGGTAGCTACAGTAAAAATATCTTATGGTTTGTGCTGTGCGTCAATCACCAATCAATCAATCAATCAATCAGTCAGTCAGGACAAACAGTTTTATATATAGAGATATGAAATACGATTTATTAAAACCCATGAAAAAGTTAAGGCATGTTTTGAGCATGTTTTGAAGAACAGAATGATCAAAGTATATTTATGGGTCTAAATACTTAGCTAGTCATTTATTGCGATCAAGCACTATTGAGAATAATATCGCATCTAATGGGACCCGTGAATTCTTCTTCAATATGCTAGAGATATGCCAAGGGCAACTTAGTATATCCACGGATATGCCTGGTATACAGTGTTACCAATTGCCGATTCAAAAAAGGAGCTTAAGTCGACGAATAAGTAGCTAAAAATATCTGAATTATCTATCTGAGCACACATTGGAAATCGAGAGTTACAAGTGTTTGAGAGGTCAACAAATACTTAAGCCCCTTTAAAATGTCATCTCTATCCGGCTGACATCTGAAAACAGGCAAACTTAACTAGAAAATAGCTGAATTGGCAGCACTGCTGTTAACAAAAATATCTGTTACCAACACTTAATTTTGGTCTCTTTGTGCCAGCCTAGAAGTATGCTGCCAATGATGTAAAATTGACCAAAGACGCATCTTAAAACAATGTTTGGCCTCGGTTTGAGCACATTAAAGTTTCTTAACTGATTAACTCACAAAATACTGAAACATCGATTATAGGTATATATATATTTGGTTTATGTTGTGATATTCCTTCAGCCAGAAACTACTCTCTACAGCAGCTTCGATAGGGTAAATTCCGTGGGATATGCCAAGCAGAAGATTCATGTTGACCTCTTCCGGTCGAAAGTGAAATTTAGAAGGTAAAGTGCGAACAGCGACGGGCTGGGTTCATAGGGAAATCGCGAGAGCTAAGCCACCCCCAACAGCAAAGTTTACTACGCTAGCTAGCTCTCTCTCTCTCTCTCGTTCGCTCTTTCTACCTCTCTTCTGGTCACACTCTACATTGAGAGACAGCGCAACAGTGCTGTCAACTACTGAAAAGCAATCAGAAGCTAATTCAAAAGAAAGCACGAATAGATATGTTTAGCAGAAGAAAAGCTAGAGATCTATATTTATTAAGATTGTGTTATATAGTTGAAGAGATAATCAGAACAAACTAACAAATTGCTTTAATTTTATACTGCTTTAATTTATACTCGAGTATCAATATGGGATTAGGTTTTTTCATTATTAATTTATACATATTACCAAATACTTTTTGTTTCTTATGTACGCTAGCATTAACTTATATTTTAAGTACATTTAATACTCAACAGCACTTAAAATGAACTAGTTCAGTAACTCAGTGAAAACCATTTAGTTAACATATTGGCTTTAGCTATAATTCTCCCACTGCTAGAGGTTTGATGAGCAGCAGCTAGATGTAGCGTAAAAGCCGCTAGCTTGTCAACACTGGCGTGCGGCGTCGCTTAAACACGAGCATCGCTGCCGTTGCATGCCTCAGTCTCTCCACGCACGCGACGAGCTGCGGATCATCGCTGCGATCGTCGTTCGTTCCAAGTGGTTCTCTAATAAACTAGCATTAAAGAAACGTATTTTACCGTACTATTTTTTTTTTGTATTTATTTATTTTTTTTTTGTTTGCCGTTTTCAAAATTTGTACAATCGCATGTGGAAACGCGACGGCACTTGAAACGATGCCATTGCCATGCCTGGTTGTATACTTACCTAGATGCTTAAATACATACGATTATACGGATACTCACACACACGTACACACACGCACACACATGCACACATGTATGCATATAGTTTTGCATAGAATGTGATTTATATGCCCGATGCGTTAGTTTAGTGAGTCGCGAGTGTTTCATGTTTTTTTGTTGTTTTTTAAATGCACTTAAAGAGAAAAAAGTTACGCAAAAGTGTCAACGAAATGCAAAGGAAAAGTTTAAGAAATTGTCAGTGCATGGCGACTAATTAATTGATTGATTGATTGATTGATTGATTGATGATCGAAGTGTAACAACAACAAGAGCCGCAGCATAAAAGATGCAAGCAGCTAATTAAAAAGCCAACGAGGAGAACAACAACAACAACAACTACAACAACTACAACAACAACAACAACACACTATATATATGCATATATGTATATGTGTATATAATCAAAATTAAGGAAAACCGCAAACAAACGAGCGAAAGAGAAAAAAACGAAAAAAGAAGTGAGTGATTTATTTAATACATGTTTATAAGGCACACACACACACACACACACACACATCTGTAGGTAGTATCATGATCATATTTGACTGTATACAAACAGACGACAGACCGGACAGAACATGGAACAGATCCATCGACCGGGGGCAGACCCCGCCACTCATGAGCTTTGGCTACGGTTATGATTATGGTTATGCCCGGTTTCGGAAGCAGCAGCAGCAGCAACCGCAGCCGCCCGCCAGTTGCCGCTGATGATCATCATGATGCTCTGACTCCCTCTCTCTCTCTCTCTCTCTCTCTCGCTCTGTCGCATTGCCGGTCCCGTTTTGGTGTGCGTGGGGGCGAGGTGGCGGGGCAGCAGCTCTGGATTCAGCCTGGGGCTGGGGCTGAGGCTTGGTCTGCAGCCGAAATGAAATGGAATTAAATTAAATCAAATGATAAAAAATATAAATCGAGTGTAGAAACAGTAGCAGCCCTCTGTACAGGCAGCGCAAAAACAAAAAAAAACATAAAAAAAACAAAAACAATCGGAATCAGAATCAGAATCGGAATCTGAATGAGAAACCCCCAGATTCCGACAACTGACTAACTGACAAACTGTTGCATTGATGCACGGCCATTAGGGGGCACAGCACACACACGACTACGAGTCTGAGTGTGTGTGTCAGTGTGAGTGTGAGCGTGTGTCTGTGTGTGAGTCGTGTTGATGCTCATAGACGCACGCGAAACTAATGGATATATGCTCGCCGTGCTATTAACGTGCACACACATGCTTTGAAGACCCAAAGAGCGGAAGGGAAATCCAAAGGGTAAACATCGCCAGAAGCAGACCCAACAATTGTGGCCCGGCCAGGCTAGACCCTAGAGTCGGCACTTGTTGTGCACAGCGCCTGCAACTGGTTGCCATCGGTTCATAAATACATGGAAATAATACATTGAACTCTTCTGTTGCCCGGCATTGCTTGCATAACAACAGGCGGACGGACCCCTCCTCCATTTCGAATATCTGTCAAAAATCTGTCAGTGTAAAAATAAGTCGCCTGCCCTCCAAAACTGCATCTGTATCCGTAACTGCATTTGTCTGTTTGTATCCGTCCATCTGTAGCTGTATCTTTATCTGTACTGTTATAGACAGCATCCGCCATCAACTGTACTCCTTAACCCAAAGCCAATCGATTGGCATTTGTCAAAATATGCAAAACATGATGCAAACATACATATGTATGTATATTTATATATATATGGACTATATGCACACTTATAATAGCTACACATGTCGAGGCTGCTGGGCGAACTTCTTCAGATCTTTTGTTTGCCTTGGCCAGAGTTCAGCAAATCATCTTTTGATATTTCGGTTAAAGCACTCGCAATTCCCATACCCAGTAAAACAACCAACTGTACGTAAAGTCTTTCAAATCGTAAACAGACGTTTTGCAATGTTAAAACTATCTGGTATGAGTCCCATGAAATTTACAAAGTCGATGGCTCGGTGGACGGTTCGAACCAACTATTTTTCCTTTTGGTTCAAGCTCTTGTTTGTCGTCTATTCTTTAAATTGTAATTTATAGAAGTTGCGGGGTAACTTTGATCTCTACTCAGAATTGGTATCGAGCAAACTGCGTGTCCTCCCTCAAATGTGTTCGAATTCAAGGGAAATTCTTTTTGAAACAAAAATTGTTCGGCTCGACTGTTTTTAAAGCAATTGCATTGATTTGAGACTGGGGCTTTAGTAAAAAATAAATAAGAGTTCCAGCTTGCAACCTTGATAAACACATAACTCTTGTCGCCCAATCAAAACTATGCCTTTCTAAATAAACCTCTTTAATAGTCCAAATAAAGATTAAAAAAACAAATAATAAGATTATAATATAATACAATAATGTAATAATATAACTTTATAACATAATAATATAGCAATACAATATAAAAATAGGTTGGCGAATAGCTTTGATCTTTGGGATCTTTCTTATAATAAATATAATTAATAATAACTATATAATATAGTTGTATAATTAATAATAATTTAAAAAAAATAATTATATATATATTTCAAATAATAATTATAACATCGTTTTTTTTACATTTCCAAAATATAATTTGGTTCTTGATCTATGTAAACATAAGAATATGAAACTTTTATTACTCTTTCTCTTATACAAATGATATACATATACATAATTCTTATATTTATATAGAAACGCGAACAAAATTATATTTTGGCATGGCTTTTCGAAATATATAGTAATAGGTCAGTATGTGAACTTAAGATATTCAACATCAGTATTAAACATATTGCCAAGTTCTTATTTCGTTGTTTTACAGGGCATTCCATAGTCGTGCACTTTGAATTTGCTTTTCTACTGTTTAGCTTTTGATAAATGATTTGCAAATCGTTTGCAATTTTTTTCGCTTTGCAACTAAACAGCTCTTCCCATTCTAAAAAGATTAGAAAAATATAAATAGCAAATTTCTTGTTCGTTTCAAAAGTGGACTTTGCATTCGGGGTATTCCATATGCTGGTAAATGCAAATAAATCGAACCAGCCAAAGAACAGCTGTCAGCACGGGCTAAAAACATTTTTAGTTGCATTTTATTGTTTATTTAGAGGTTATAGCTTGATCTTATAAATACGATCAGCTATAGGAATAGGTTTTTATTATTATTACTTTGTTTTAAATGCTATCGTGCATTAGAGGCTGGGGTTCGAACCAGCGCCTATCAATTTGCAGTTGCCCGAATGTTTGTCTAGACAAAACAACTGTTTATATCAAATTCCTCAGGTATTATTTATAAATATATACATATTTATATATATATTGTATATTAATAGAGTGGAATATCTTAAAGCTATGTACATATATGTATTCCATCCTTGATGAGCCCTTGCAAGGATCGTTCCTTAAATAGTTTGCCTACGCCCACTGTGGGTGTGGCACAATCGATATCTGTATCTGCATAAATTTGGGGATTAGCTTGACTTAAGCTGTAATCGGACTGTGAAAGTGTATTGCGCAGTCGGTTGCATCCGATTGCAATATTCTTACTTCTTGATTTTTATTGATTTTACACTGAAATTTCGCAAGCACGCTTGATTAAACACACGCACACACACACCCACACACACACACACACACACGGACAGACGGTTAGACAAATGTGAGGCAACTAACTGCAAAACTCTAAACAATTCCACTAAATTGTTGTTGAAATGCCGCGGATCAGTCGGCGTTCTGCGTGTTGTTGTTGCTGTTCTTCTTCTTCTTCTTGTTGTTGTTGTTGTTGTTGTTGTTGTTGCTGCTCATGGCGCGTTTCATTAAATTGTTGCTTTTTGCTCATGGAAACGTTTTAATGGTTTGTCGCGCTTGGAATTTACACAGCAATGGGAAAGACTGACTGCGAGAGATAGAGTGAGAGAGGGAGAGGTCGAGGGGGCGGGGGAGATAAAAACAAAAGCAAATGCAAACAACATGCAAAGTTATACTAATCAACAACAACAAAAACAATCATACAAATAATAATAATAAAAATTGTGAGCATTCAGTTGACATTTTAATAAATGTCTCTGCCGATTGCGCTCTGCCATTTTGTTGCTGTTGTTGTTGTTGTAGTTGTTGTTGTTGTTGTAGTTGTTGTAGTTGTTGTTGTTGCTGTTGCAACTAAGCGAGGTATTTCTCAAATTGTTGTACAACATTTCTAAAAGTCGAAGATTTCAAATTGAATTTCTTAATGTTATTTTTGGCATTCATTTTGCGCAATTACTTTTAGGAATTTTCGCTTAAGAGCAGGCACGACTATGAGTTGCCCTGTAAAATCGAAAGTAGATGTTTTATCAATGAAATATAAAGGGTATTGCTTAACTTTCCTTTTAATAATTTTACAAATATTTTTGGCCATAATTCAGCTAACTGTGGCTAACTTGAAGACTTGTACACTCAAAAAATGATTGGACTACATTTTAGAAAAGCGCCAAAATTATAGAAAATTTGTTAATAAAAAAAAACGTGCTCCTTAAGAAACTTTTTTTCATGTGCAGTCAAAAACATTTTGTTTCTTTAGCAATTTTCTGAAATTTAGGGCAAAACATTTTCTAAGTGCACGTCTGCATATTTTCATTATAAGTAGAAGATAAACCATATTGCAGCTACCAAACTGTACGCTTTCATTTTTATTTTTTGGCAAACATTTCTGGCGACAGCCGCCAGCTGTTGGCCTAAAAATGCGAATCGCTGAAGGGTTGCCTTTGATAAAAAGTCGCGAAGTCGAGCTCGACTAAGAAATACTCTATACAGGCACAAGCAATATGTTGAAAACATAAGTATTTTGTAATGAGAGTTTTTTATTATTTTTATTATTATTATTATTATTATTATTTTAATTATTATTATTATTATAATTATTATTATTATTATTACTATTATTTTAAGTATTGTTATTATTATTATTATTATTATTATTCTTGTAATTATTATTATTATTATTATTATTATTATTTTTCTTGTTATTATTATTATTATTATTATTATTGTTATTATTATTATTACTAAGATTAAGTAAAATACATTCATATATTATAAATAATAGTATAGTATATTTACAAAAAAATAGAGCGCTAGCGTCCAGACCTTCAGCTCTAATGAGAGTATATATAGATCTTATTACCGCATACTAAATTTGGTAGCTTCCACTTAAAGGCTCTTCAGGATCCGCCCCATACACTAGCCAGAGCTCGGATATATGTGGGTTATCTGGCGGCCAGTTATAAGCGCAGGCTCAGCTGACTGACCCATTTTTAGGATTGCCTTGGCATCTCGGTATCTCACCCTCTCTCCTACTCCCCCTCTCCTCACCCCTCTCTCTCCTTTGAGTCTTTTCAGTTTCAATTAGCACTGAGCTGAAAATGCAACATGATTTAAATTGCTGTCGCTGTCAGTTGTCAGACAAGAGCGATAACAACAGCGACAGCGGCAACGACAGGGCGCACCACGCCTCAGTCAGTCGCACCAAAATGTATCTTATAGATACATGTCTCTGACATAATAATCTCGTCGCACAATGTGCGACTGGCGCTTCTTGTTGTTGTTGTTGTTGTTGCTGTTGCTGCTGCCTCAATGTCTCCGCAGTTGCCATACGGCCAGCCTTTGGCCTCCATTGCCGCTCTCTTGGCATGTGTCGCGGACTACTTGGAAGTTTTTAGGTACTACGTGTTAGCGCACCGACAGATCTTCGAAGACTTATATATATATAAATATATATATCGCTAAAAATACGCTACACTTGATTTTCTTGCTGTTGTTGTAGCCAGACTGCGCTTTTTTTCTCGCAGTCGCCTTGATTGTCCGCTGTCGCAGCTGCTCGACTTGCACGTTGCTATTTTCTGGCCAATATCAGGAGCAGCATCCGCTCTGGCAACAATGGAGCGGATCAAGAAACCGTGCTAGGTCAGGGACAATGCGAATACTAGAGTGCCTCAGTTTGAGTCGGAGTCGGAACTCTGGAGTCGGAAAACCCTTCAAAATTCGGCAAGAAGGACAGAAAAGTCCGAAATAATGGAAGGAATGGGGGAAGAGCATAAAGAAGATGTATATGAAAAATTAAATCGATTAAAATTGTATCGGTAATTTTTATTTGAGAGAGAAACAGGAGAAAGATTAAGGAAAGGAAGTAATTATTTTACAAAATGGACTTAGATGTTACGATATAGAAAAGATAGGCGATAGATTGATTAGATCAATGAATATAGAGAATCGATGATAGATGTCTAAAAATGTAAAGTGAGGTAGATTAAGGGACGGGAAGCTCCGATCAAATGGAAAATATAAATTAAAGCAATTTGATATATTTGTTAAAGTAAAAGGGAAGAGAATCTTCGTGAAGAGCTCTTTTTGGAAGAGTCATAAGTATAGGGACACAGCAGTTCGAATGGGATATAATATTTGCTTACAACATAAGAAATTGCCTATAGCAAATATTATGATTGATTTATGATTAATGTTTCGATATTTGTTTGGTTTAATTGTTGCGACAGGCCAGAGACGATTGAGTTGCCCGGCAAATGACAGATTGAACGACTGTCTAATTGGGCGACCGACAGGCAAATGGCACTAGGCCAACAGATAATGAAGAGGGCGCAAATTGGCGCATTTGTTATGTTGGCCAAAGATCAAAGCAAAGTATCTTACAGATACAATTCGAAACATTTCGGTTGAGGGTGTATACAGTATGTATCTATGTATATGGCTAACCGGAACCACTTGGCGCAATAAACAGAAATCAAACACAACTAATAATTATTCAATTTGCGTTGAAATGCATTTTTAATAGTCGAGTGAAAAACAGGTGCCTGACACACACAGAGAGAGAGAGAGAGAGAGAGAGAGAGAGCGAGAGACACGACTGAGGAAGTGCCATTGCCTTATGGGCCATTTCCGATTTGAATTTCATTAGAAATTAAAATTGTTGACCGGATCACATGGACTCGCTTTATGGTAACACGACACAAAATGTTTGTAAATCGAACCGAACAGCTAATGAGGGGCTGTACCCCACCCCACCAGCTCATCGCAGAGCTGGCCTCTCTCATCGGCTTTCCAATTGCCAATTGATTGATTTTCACTTGTCTTTCAACAAACATCGATCGTTGGGCTCTTCCCCAGCGATGGGGCTTGGGCTGTGGCCTGATCTGGCTGGCAGTTGCGGGAATTCGTTTCGTATATACATATGTAGATATTATCTATATACTGTACGGGCGCATACACATGTACCCCCTTAGTAAGCTGTGCTCTTCCCATACCCCTACCCCTACCCCTGCCCGTACCCGTACCCCTGTGCTGTGCCCTTTCTGTGTTCGCAGTTCATCCAGCTGAGTGCGTCGGTTCACGTTGCCGGTGGCCATACGAGTTATGGTTGATTTTAATTAAATATATCTTCTTCCTGTTGCTGTTTTCATTTTATATGCTGTTGTCATTGCTCTATGTGACTTGTGCGGCTTTGCGATACCGAACCGCTTTAATACCGCCCATTGAGCCGCTCTTTCCCATCCACACTTGCCACAGTGCCCCAGCAACAAGTGTGTTCGGCTATGATACGATTTTCTCTTTTATTTTGCAACATTTCTAATTCTGTCGACGACATGTGGCTCAGGCTAGCTTATTTCTCTCACTCTCTCTCTTTCTCTCTCGCTCTCTCTGTATATATATATGTATGTATGCATCTTTACCTTGACAGGACGATATGTGGATGGAGTATTAGGATATACCTAGGGCTAGGAACATCTATTTTTATATTCATATTATAGTTATTTATATTCATAATATAATTATTCATATTCATATTACAGCCATTCCTTCGCTTGACCCCCTGAGCACACGAAGTTCAGGGAACGAACCCATGTATAGACCAAAAATATGTATATCTAAAATAAATTGAATATATTTCAAGTTAAATAGAAAAATTGCCTGAAAAAATGATTGTCATTAAGATAAGTGCGTCTCTAGCAAGCATTTGAGACCTGTTTTCAAGTTCACAAATTTAGAAATTTCAGAGAACAAATAAAGCATACGCCTACGCTGGCTTTTCCGTCTGTTTAGTAGAGATAAGAAATACTAGAACCCAAATCCTTTTCTTTCAGATATAACTCTCTTTTCCTTTGTATTTTGCTTTAAAGAATCATAAGAATAAACTTTTGCTTTCAACTTTTAAATACTTTGCCATATAGATATATTTGGGCACAACTTAAACATGGTATTAAGTCAGAGAGTCTAAGTCCTAATAGATGCGTCTCCTTAACGAGTTAGCGAGTGACTTATGTAGTTGCGGCACTTTGTCAAGTTAGGATTTAGGACTATATACAGAACTGGTATACGCTTTCTGTTCGCAATGAAAAGGTAAACATTGAATACCTAAATACTGGATAGCTGCTCGACCACAGACCGGCAGGTATTCGATATGCTGGCCACCCAGAATTGAGGCTCGGTTTAGCTGTTCGATTTGTATGTTGTCGCCTGGCTCCTCCTGGCTTCCCTTTGGCACAGTCTGTGCGCTGCTGCAGCGGAAGTGAAGCCGCTGGCTGAGTGGATGTGGAACCACTGTTTACCCTCCTCTTAGCCTCCACACCGCACCTTACCCCTCTCTCAATTACTCCATTGACTGACGGCAGCTGCATAAATAATAATTGTATGCCATTTATAATAGTTTCGTTGTCGTTGCCGTTGTCGCTGTCGTTGTCGCTGATGCAAAGGAATCGGAGGCACTGCCAGAACTGCAGCCGGCGGACGGCGGATGGCGGACGGCGGCTGAGCAATGAACCAGACCAGAGCCACTGCAACATCGACGGGGAGGGGGGAGGGGGGGGAGGAGGAGGCTTTAGCTTTGGCGAAACGCCTAAGCACCCCGTTGACATTAAAGTTGATTGCAAACTGTACGCATTTATGATCACGATTGTGTTGATGACGACGGCAATGATGATGATGATGACGGCGATGATGATGATGATGGTGATGGCGTCGCATTATCAACATCATTGGCCGCCGGTCGGCTTATTAGTTTGCCATTGCGCGCGTTTTTATGGGCGATAATGCAGCGGGACAACGGCACGAACAGGCGGATAAGTGCGCGGGGGGGGGGGGCTTGTTGTACCGGTAGTGCGGCACCCTGCCCATGTCTCAATGATGCACAGCGCCCCACTGTGCTGCCATTTTCCATTAGTTTGCAACTCTATATCAATAAAACAACAAAATATAGCTGCGATTCCCCAGCGATTGCCGTGATGATGAGTGTGTGAAAAGCGCGCGTCTGGGAAAACAGCAAATGAAAAACTGCCGGCGACAGATGTCGCATTTTCAAGCAAATATCAAGGCTAAACCCTACAAAAATAATCTAACGTAAATGTGCAATAAACGTGATTCACATCAAATCGAACTCTACAGCTCACATTGGGATCTTTGGCTCTAATTGACTGGACGAGCAAGGGTACCCATAGCCGCTTTCCTAACACGCTCTAATTCTTGGCCCCACACATAGCTCTTCAATATAAAGAAATATATATTGTATATAAAATAAAATTTGCTTAGGATTAAGGGCTTAATGTCTATGTAACAGGCAGAAGGAAGTATATACATATATAGCTGAGTCTAACTCCAAAACTACAAAAGCTAGAAAATTTCAATACTCAATATATAGATGTTCGTATACCATAAGCAATACGAATTTATCATATTTTTTCGATACACCTTTCCATTTCGGTAATATCGATAAATATCGGTTTTGAGACTTGGTATTTTTACCAAAACTCAAGAACTATAGGAGCTACATTTGCCAAACTTGGTATTTAGGTTTTTTTTTTGGTATATGTCGATTAAAAACATTTAATTTTTTTGATACCTTTATTAAGACCAAGGTATATTGTACCTGAACATTAAGAGTAACTATCTATTGCTCCCTTTATATTTTGTTGCCTTAAATGTTTGAGATATGAAAACATACTTTATTATATAGAGTGAAGCTTAAAGAGATAAAAAAAATGAAATAATTTGATTATATTTTCATAATTTTAACAAAATAAAACGAAGTTTCATCTTAGAATTCGTTTGTAGAAGGTATTATCTCTTGCGTCTGGAGTTGCCTCCAACTACCTGCTTATATATTTGCAAAATTTAAAAATATATATGTTTATATGTATTTCCATATTTTTCTGTTTTGCAGAGATGCAGCCGTTAATACAAGGCGGCAGCGCAGCCAGCAGAGCAGCAGCAGCAGCCGCAACGAAATTAACAGCAACGAGTAGCAGTAAATGTAACAGTAACAGTAACAACAACAACAACTTAACATTAGCTATAATGCGCACAACAAAAGCAACAGCAACAACAGAAACAAAAACAAACACAAACTCCAAATTTCACAAACGTCGACGAAGGCGACAGTGCAGTCAGCAGCGCAGCAGCAGCAGCACAACAACAGCAACAATAACAGCAAGAACAATCCGAAGAAGAAGCAGCATCCCATATCTAAGCAGAACTGGCGCCTATCTGACGCTATTGCTCCTAACCACAACATGTTCCTTGTGCGCTGTTGCCGCCGCATCCGCTGCCACCGCCACCGCCGTCGCCGCTGCCGCTGCCTCTGCCGCTGGCTCTGCCACGAATAGCGCCAGCGCCAATGGCTTTGTTGTGCCCAGTTCACCCTGTGAACCGCAGCACTGGTGGGATCAGCTGCAGCACAAGTGCACGCCCTGCACCATCTGCCAAGGCGAGATGATACCGCATCGCCCGTGCCAGCTGCACATCGATACCGTTTGCAGTTCCATTTACGATCTGCCAATCGATTGGGTGAGGGTGTCCAGAACGGAGCCAAACTGGAAGGAGGTAAGCTGTTGGCATATGGATCGAATGTGCTCGCTTCTCATTGATACGATATTCGATTTGCAACTATTGCAGCGCCGAAAGTCTTCGGAATATGAGCGTCCCGATTATCCAACGCCGCTGCAGCACTTGACCCACGAGCAGCTGCAGCAGCTGCACGAGGAGGCAGCCGCTGCCTTGCCCCTCGACTGGCAGACGGGCGCACTCTTTATCGCGGCGCTCGCCTGCCTGCTTTTCTTTTCGGTGGCCGCCTGCATACTCATCCATCATATGCGCCAGTGGCGCCGCATGGAGCGTCGATTGGATCAAGGTGAGTTTCGGTTTCAACTTTATATATAGATCGAAATTATATTGATGAAAAAAGTAGGTGCAAGTACTCATATGTTAAGAGCTTAGTTTAAATTACATTTTACTTATAATTCGCAACGTGTTTTAACAAAATTTCAATGATTGCAAAACACCAGAAATTCAAATCTTGTTAAAACTTAATTTAAGACTTGATAAAACCAAGTGATTATTTGGGTCGTTCGGCTGTCTATGTGAGCAACTAAGTATAACCACAAATTTAATTTTTCTTATAATTCGCATCCAGTTTTAACCAAATTTCCATTATGTCAAATACATCAAATTTATACCTTGAAAAACCCTAGTTGAGAAGTTTTTATCTTTATGATAACTTAAATATCAGTGTGTTAGAAAACCAAATTATATATATACATATATATAATTCGCAACCAGTTTTCACTAAATTTTCATGTGGTTGACATAACGTCGATTGAAAACCTAATGTCTCTGTAAACTGTATTAGTGGACCGCTTGCTGTGGCCTTTGCTTCAACATTCACACGCCTCGACTGCGACATGGTTCATGCAGCGAGGGGCACCTTTAACCCAACACCAAAGAGCTGGGGCGGAGCTGCTTTAAATGCGCATCGCGTTCTACGCTGCATTGCCAAAGGTTGTCCACACCGCACAGTTTCCCAAACCCAAACCCAGTGGCAGTGGCAGTATCAGCTGCAGTTGCAGTTGCTGTTGGCCTCCAATGCCTGCCTGCTCCGGCCGCTCCGGCTGCTTAGCATGCCCGGCGTGCGATTGTGTGTTGTTTGATTTCTAGTAGAAAGCTGAGAAACAACCTGCTGCGGCCCTAAACGTGGCCCAGCGCACTAGCGCGTACATATTTATAAGCCAAAACACGACACTTTGATGTATGGGAGCTCCCGACAATCGCCAGCGGCATCTCCTACAGCACAACCAAAGCCCGGAGCCGGCATCGCAAAAGACGCGCGTCCCTTTGCGCAGATTTCCAGCGAATTGCTGCACGAGCTGCGAGATCTGCAAGTTGCTGTGAGGGAGGGCAGCAGGGAGTTAGGGGGAAAAGTGGAGGTGGCACTCTCAGGAGCTGGCCATCAGGTGCATATTAATGAGCCTGCGCCTGCGCCAAAGTAGAACGAAACGTCCAAATATTTGGCGCATGTGCGTCCATGACGTCGCCGCTCTGACAACGTCGACAGCGACGCGTTTTGCATACAACAAGCAAGTTGTTTTTGTTGTTGTTGCCGTTGTCATGATTCTTATTAATATTTTTCGCCAGCTTTAAATTTATTTTTATTTATTTTTTAATAAATTATTTACGGTTGGCGCTCGTGTTTTACCTGACCGCAACATGAGTTCCATATAGGAGCCGAGCGAACCACAGGCGCGCATGAAGAGTAACAATAATTTCAGAGAGTTTGGATCGATATGACGAGCAGGTGCTCAAAGACCTCTGCTCGGATATTTGCATACCACAAATTGTATAATATTAACTATTTGAGTATTCAGTTGTTTTTTCAGTCGAGCCAAAATCCGCATCGAACCATCTTTTCAGCAAGAAAGAACGAATATCTTTGGTTTGCCGCCTTTATAATGCTTTTCCAGGCCGATTTGTTAGTTCCTTTGGGAGACATATAACATAGCATTCCCCTTTGATGCGATCCTGCAGATATGTCAAGATACCTTTAGAAAATTATCAATTTCCCTTACTCAAACTCATTCTTTGATCAATTCTTTACTTAAAGCTATATGATATAGTAGTTCTTGTTAAATATATAAGCTGATCATAGAAGAACTCAGTTTTAGACAGATTATTATTATTATTTATACTAGACGAAACATAAATAAAGTTATATTTTTTTGATATTATTAATTTTCATAGACTTTAAACTATATCCGAATTTATACAAATACAAATTTAAAGGTATTTATCTTATATTATCTTGTTCCTGTGGCTGACTTTTGGTATCAAGTTAAGTTAAGGCTTATATAGAAATATCATTATCTGACATAAGAATTTATTTTCGATTTCAAAACATAAAGTTTGGAAATGGATGTAGCCTTTGTTGCTACTTTACTTATATATTCAATATCTGCGCGTTTCGAGTTGCCTTTTGCAGCTGTTAAAGGGCGCAAGGGCCCGACGATCTCTGTCCTTGACAATGATATTTGCCTTTGTTTTTGCTGCCATTTACGCAACTGGCATCCCGAGACGGCAGCATTTAAGCACATTTATTTCGTGCCATATGCCATATATGTATATTCCCTCTCATATGTCATAATAAAGCAACATATGAGAGAGTCGCAACTCAAATGAGGCATGCAACACGCACACATACACTCGAAACTTCTTTCAATCGTTGAATGCGGTTTTCGGTCCCCAAGTTGTCAGCGTTTTTCACTGATTTGATTTGCTCCTTTGCGGACTCACTTTAAAGTTTTATGAGCCAGCAGCTTCATAAAGTGTTCGGCATATAAAGTTTTATTTCTTTTTCTAAGTGGCAATGAAATTGAGCATGGAGAACCCTTCGTGCCTTCATTATATATGGATATGTGCGCATAATTCAGCGAGCTGTCCAAAATTATGAAAGCCGAATGGCATAGAATATATATGGAAGAACCGAAGGTTTTCAAATTTCAAAACAAGTATTCCAAAATCTCAATAAATATATGAGCTCATGATCAAAATACTAAGCACATTATCACAAATTCTTTTCAATGAATTTATTTGGAATTTTTTCCTCTTTAAAAGCCACAAGCTAGAGAAAAATCTGAAGTTCAAATGAAATTAGTTTCTGCCCTTTTATTTGGCCCTGTTTTTTCTCCAAACGTTCGCTAAATAAAAAAAAATGATTGAGGAAATTTATTGAGATTTGTTAGATCAAGTTAAATCTGACAAGATCTTCGTGCACAAAACAGCACTAAGCTCTGCTGCTCTCGCTTGTATCTTAATCTATACGAATATAGATATAGATATAAATATATATATATACATATATATATGCATATGTATGTAGTTAAAGTTGCATTTTGGATGCCTTTGTGAGAATGTGTAGACACATGCTGTGTGGATGCGCAACAATAGCTAGAGGCAAAGAATAACAACAACATTGGTAAAGAGCGTGAATTTTCCACGCTTTTCGCGCCTTTCCACCCACCAGGCCGTGTCAGCGGGGCCAACGTGAAAATTTATGCCTTGCTTTGATAGGTTCACGTCTTGTTTTTCTTCTTGTAATCATAATTCAGCGCGTGTCGACGTCGGCGTCGCCGTCGCTGTCGCTGTCGACCCACGCAGCGCCCAGTGAAAAAGTGCAGCCATGTCCAGCGTGAAAAATTTATGAAGCCGCCAACGAAACGATACGAAACGTAAACAGAGAAGCGAGACAGGCGGAGAGAAAACAACAACAACAACAATAACAACACTTGCTAACGATCCCAGCCTGAGCGAGTAGCAAATGTACTTCCCTGTGATTTTTCGAGATTTCAGCTATATCAAATACTCAGCCCAGGGCCGGAAGCAGACACACACAAGCACACACACACACACGCACACGCATACGCATATGCCACTTTGTCCAGTAAAAGCACGTGCAAGTGGAAGAGTGAGGGGTCCCCCCCCCCCCCCCCCCCTGCTGCCCCTGTTGCATGCGCGGCGTGTCTAGCTCAAGGACAAGCGGATGTTTGTAGACCGCAGAGTCGAATCACTTCCGCGGGCATGTAATGAAATTCCAAAATCATGTCACAGCCAGCCAAGTGCTATAAAAACAGACGAAGGGCAGGAAATGCCGTGCAGTGACTGCGTCGCCGACGCTGACGTCGACTGCAACTGCAACTGCAACAGATCAGCAGATGAACAGATGAAAATAATGTCAGCTGCATGGAAAATCGAGCTGTAATCGAATGTGGCATGCGTTGCACTTGGGAAATGCCATGCGCAGGCATTTTCTTTGTACTTCCCGTTGAATGAATTCTTATTGGATTTCGGTTGCAACTGGCTGCTGTTGCAGCTCATGTTGCTGCTGCTGCTGCTGCTGCTGCTGTTTCCGTCGCAGCATTTCTATAAATAGTTGGCGAATTGATGATTAAATATTGGACCAGCTGCCTGGCGGGTTGTACAGGAAGTTGTTGTTGCCTCTGCGGCAAGGAAAGGTGTGACTGGGCGCATTCAAGCGCTCAATTGACAATTGCCAGTCGGTTGCCCTTTCTCTTCCCCCCCCCCCCCTCTCTCTCTCTCTCTCTCTCTCTGCCCTCACTCTCTTCCGCTCTCTGGCTTTTCCCTGGCCATAACCATTTCCATTTGCATTTTCAGTCGTTTGGCACGCGCTTAGTGTTTCCTTCAACTTGGAATTGTGCAGGCGATAAATTCGCTCAATGTGCCAGCTGAGCAAATGCAGATCCAAACGTGTAAGAACATTTTCAGTCGGGTATAACCAATTGCGTAATACACGCTCACAGTCCAATAAAAGCCATATTTATAAAATAATATCATAGTATATATTTAGATCAATCTTTAGCAGAGCTGAACAGTAGTCTTTAATCCAAACATTATCATACTAGCTCTTAAATTATTTAATGTATTTGGCATTTATCTGCTTCAATTTCCATAAAACCAATATACTCTTTTTAAGTTTGGGAACGAGTGCAAGAAGATCGCAGAAATGTTGCAGTCACACACTCGGCGATCTGTTCCCTGCATTTTACGGCTCGTTCAAAAATAGCGATGCCGTTCCTGTCTTGCCTCGCACCGCCCCACCCCGCCCAGCGGCATAGGGGTAGCTGGAGACAGGGGGCGGCTGCTGAGGCGGAGACTACACTAACTACCAGCGATGGGGCGAGTCGCGTGGCAACTCAAACAAACTTGCAATTTTCGGAATACATACTATTGGCACATGCATAATGAAAGGGACAAATCAAAGAGAGAGAGAGAGAGAGAGAGATAAATCAAATAAAAAATATAAAATGAGGGTTACAAATGTCACTCGACAGATTAGGACCAAAAGATGATCTTAGCCCCAACCCAACGCAAGCTAGAAGTAGCCAAAATATTTATCCCTCGAGCTCACTTGAATCAATTTAAACCTTTATAAATAAACTAAATCTATGTTCCTTCTATATTCTTCCATTCCTTTTCTTCTTCCTTATCCATATCGATGAGCTCCCATAGAGACTCCTACGCATGGTTATAGATCTTATATATACAAAGCTTCTCCCTCGAGATCAGTTGAGTCATATGATTTGTTTAATTTTTAATTTTCCCTATTGATTAACTAAATCAATGTTCAATGCCATCTAAGGTCTTCAGTAGATATTTTTGCTGAAACACATGATCGTATAGATCGTATATATATAATAATTTTTTTCGGAGATCACTTGCACCACATGATCTGTAGAATCTATCTATCAATTAACCAAATCTATGTTCGATGCCAAAATCTTTTATCAATAGCCTAACCCACGCATGATAATAGTTCATATACATATATGTACAGATTCTTTTAGAGATCACTTGAATGTACAGATCACATGATCTGTACAAATTGTTCAATTTGAGTTCTTTGTTTTTTCTCGGATTTCCTGCTTTCACTAATCAGTTTGCTAGAATCTTCTTGGCATACAGTTTTCCATGGAAAATTCAACTGTGCCGCTTTTCCCAATACATTCCCAGCAAGCATACACACACAGGCACGCGTACAATGCGAGTACATAAACAGATACAAGCGAGTACTCGTCCTCGTACTCACACTCGCACTCACACATATACTCATACTCATACTCACACTCATCGTACCCGTTCTCGTGCTCGCACCTCTCTAGAGACTACTCATCCATATGTGCTTAATTTTCTTTGGCGCATTGAAAATTTTTGAAACTAATTGAACTGCGCAAATTTGAAAATTTGTTTTGCTTTTTTCCAATTTGGTATTTTCCTTCTGTTTTTCCTCAAAAATTGTACAACGTAGCTGCCGTTTCCATCGTTCAAGTTGCTGTTGTTGTTGTTGTGTGAAAATTTGCTGGGATTGTTTATAATAAAATGCAAAGAACCGAAAGGCAGCCGTCGCGTCTGTTGGGCAATGGAACTTAATTTTCATGTTGATCTTATTTTGTTTCTCTCTCTTTCGTTCGCTTTTCAGTTTTCTGTTTTTCCTCGACGCAGGTCGATTTTCTTTTTAATTTTCTTGTTTTTTTGGTTTCTTCTTTGTTGACTACAGTTTAAAAATAAATGATAAATTATCTGCTGGCTAGCTGGCTGGCTGGGCGGGTGTCTGTTATGGCCACGCCCATCATTTACGCCCACGCTGGTTTGTTTACAAGTCAGAAATGCGGCAGCAAAAGGCCTCTGAACGACCCCCTTTCGATTTCCTGGCATCGATCAAGAATGGGCTGGCAGTAATAATTGTTGATCTGACAGCGCGAATACAAAAATATAATAAATATTTTAACAGCCTTATGGCCGTGTTTATGAAGGCCATAACAGTATTTTATACAGCTTGCGAAAATTACATATGTACATTATACTATAGTATAGGCAGACGTGATCCGAGAGAATTTTGAACCTTGAACACGTGCAAATGGAAAGCTCTCGTTACTTTTTGCTAAATCGAACGTATATCCAATTGGTTGCCAATGCCAGCATTTTATTATAAATCTTTAAGCTAATAATGCAAATCAAGCAATAAAGGATCTGATCTATAGCAATCAATTGAGTCTATATTGAGGTTTCTGGATCAACTAATCGGCCTAACGAAACTGTTTTCACTTTGATTTAAGCCATGTTTTTGAAATTTGATTTTTTGAATTATATCGCCCAAATACTGTCCGATTTCGGCATGATATACCATTTTGGACTCGTAAGGATCACTATTATCGATTGGCATCAAAAAAATGAAAATCTAAATTTTGACCCAAATCAACAAAATGGCAGGGGTTACATCACGTTTTTACTCAAATTCGGGGTCGGTTCGAAAATCGAAACTTTTTTGATGATTCTTATTGAATATCTCGGGTAAATTTTGTCAGATTTTGAAATGTTATACCTTTTCGAATTCGTAGTGATCCCTACTATCAATTGGAATTTAAACATTTTAAAAATCGATGGGTTAAAAAAAGTGGTTGACCAAAAACCGATTCGTTTGTAAAGTCAACCTATTTTGATGATTTTTTGGAATATCTCGGCCAGATAATGTCAGATTTGTGAATTTTTTACCATTTTGGACTCGTAAGGATCAGTACTATCGATTGGCATCAAAAAATGAAAATCTAAATTTGGACCCAAATCAACAAAATGGCAAGGGGTTACATCACGTTTTTACTCAAATTCGGGATCGGTTCCAAAATCGAAAATCTAAACTTTTTTGATGTTTTTTTTTTAATATCTCGGGTAAATTTTGTCAGATTTTGAAATGTTATACCTTTTTGAATTCGTAGGGATCACTACTATGAGTTGGCATTCAAACATTTTAAAAATCGATGGGTTTAAAAAAGTGGTTGACCAAAAACCGATTCGTTTGTAAAGTCAACCTTTTTTGATGATTTTTTGGAATATCTCGGCCAGATAATGTCAGATTTGTGAATTTTTTACCATTTTGGACTCGTAAGGATCAGTAATATCGATTGGCAACAAAAAAATGAAAATCTAAATTTTGACCCAAATCAACAAAATGGCAAGGGGTTACATCACGTTTTTTCTCAAATTCGAGGTCGGTTAGAAAATCGAACATCGAATCCTTTCTGATGATTTTCATTGAATATCTCGGGTAAATATTGTCAGATTTTGAAATGTTATACCTTTTTGAGTTCGTAGGGATCCCTACAATTAATTGGCATTCAAACATTTTCAAAATGGATGGTTTAAAAAAAGTGGTTGACCAAATATCGATTCGTTTGTAAAGTCAACCTATTTTGATGATTTTTTTGAATATCTCGGCCAGATAATGTCCGATTTGGGAATTTTATTCCATTTTGGACTCGTAAGCATCAGTACTATCGATTGGAAATCAAAAAAATTGCAAGGGGTTACATCACGTTTTTACTCAAATTCGGGGTCGGTTCGAAAATCGAAACTTTTCTGATGATTTTTATTGAATATCTCGGGTAAATATTGTCAGATTTTGAAATGTTATACCTTTTTGAATTCGTAGGGATCCCTACTATCAATTGGCATTCAAACATTTTTAAAATCGATGGGTTAAAAAAAGTGGTTGACCAAAAACCGATTCGTTTGTAAAGTCAACCTTTTTTGATGATTTTTTTGAATATCTCGGCCAGATAATGTCAGATTTGTGAATTTTATACCATTTTGGACTCGAAAGGATCACTATTATCGATTGGCATCAAAAAAATGAAAATCTTAATGTTGACCCAAATCAACAAAATGGCAAGGGGTTACATCACGTTTTTTCTCAAATTCTTGGTCGGTTCGAAAATCGAAACTTTTTTGATGATTTTTATTGAATATCTCGGGTAAATACTGTCTGACGTTTTTTCCAAAAACGGGGTCGGTTCGAAAATCAAAACATTTTTGAACATTTTTCTTTAATATCTCAGGGAAATACAGTCCGATTTTGGATTCTTATACCTTTTTGAAATCGTATCAAATGAAAAGAAATCAATGTTTTTGTCAAAGAACGATTCGTTTGTGATTTAGGGATCCGTACAAACCGCGCCATGGTTAACTGCGGATTTATATGGTTTCTTAAGGACTTAATCTCGTAATGGTCTAACAAGAATTCTTTGCGTTCAATGGACTCTTTGCTGATCTCACTATAATATTGTGTAGACACGATAGTATCAACTATAGTTACTTAATTTAGTTTATTTTATAAATTTATTTATTGTTTTATATAGTATATACATATATTTAATTTATCTGAAACGAGTTCCAGATGTTACTTAAAATGTACTTTTTTTTTGTTTTCTCTGGTGCTTGCAGATGTGGAAGAGTTGTCCACGAAGCTGATGGCCAAGCTGGCCGAGGTGCAGAGTCTGGATGGTGGCACCTTCTTCATAGGCAATGCGGATGCGTTGCGCGGTCTGCCCGCCTCGGCAATGACGTCGGCGTCGGCGTCAGCGTCCGCTGCGCAGTCGGGCATCTTTCAGCCGCAACATGTGCTGCTGCCTGGTAAGTGTGTCAAAGGTCAAACCACTTGAGATCGTTCCAGCCCAATATGATGCGCCTGGCAGGGGGCTGGCCTGGGCTGGAACTGCACTGGGACTGGAACGAGGCAGGGCAGGCGCTGCGGGATGGCATTCCACAGACGAAAGAATTTCTTTTTATGTTTCATTTGTGTTTTTTCTTGCTTTTTTATTTGCGCCTTTTTGGTCAAGGCGTTTGCCAATTTGCATTTAAATTGGCCATTGAGCCCGTGGGCGGCGGCCTCTTGGCGGCGACAATAGCCGCTTAATGGGCCCATCCAATGCGATCGCAATTGATTCCACGGCAAATGCAAATGAGAACGCGCCCGCACAGAATTTTAATACAATGGGGCCTACGGCTGTCACTCAGTTTTGACAGCCACGCTTGTGGCCTACACGGCTCAAGCAAACATGCACCCCTCTGCCTTGCTCTCTCTCTCTCTCATTCTCTTTTTCTCTCTGTTTTTTCTCCTTCTCTAGTGGAAAAGCATGCCAAGCATCATGAGCGACGCATCTTGAGAACCCTGCAGCCGGGCAATGTCTACATCGAGGAGAGCAACGGATTAGGAGCTGGTGTCTTTGCCGGCTCGAAGGGCTGATGCTGCAGTCTGGCCAGGAGCTTGTTGGGAAATACTTAAGTGTACGTACGTTGACGTCGAGTACAACAACAACAGCAGCAACAACTGCAGAAACAGCAACAACAGCAGCAACAACTTTGTACAAAGAGAACGCTGAGGGAGCTCGAGAGCTTGCAAAATTTGGAGAATTATTTACGCGTACGATTAATATATACATATATTTGCCTGATATTTAATTTAAATGTTATGTTGACTTGTTTGTAATGCAAAGGCACAGCAATTTATTAATTATTAATTAATCAACACGTTCATGCTGGCAAATAGTTGCGTCAAACAAACTTTTGTTTACGAATTCGAGTTGGTCTTTTTTTTAATTTGAACATTTTTGAAAAATTCTATTCTTGAAATTCACAAATGCTTGAAGTGAAATATTATCTATAATTCGAGCTAGACTAAATTTGAGATTTGCCCAAACTGTTTATCCAAACGTAAGTAGTTTATTCAAACTGTCGTCAAAACTTTTCTCAAAACTCACGGAACTCTATTAAAACTGAAATTTATGTAGAAATACTCGAACTTGATTTTCTATTCGGAGCTGTTTGTCCAAACCATTTGCCACGCTGAGCGTTACATTAATTTTGAATGCGAAATTGATAAATTGTTTTTGTATATATAAAAGAGAGTTTTTTTTTTGTGTTTTTTTTTTGAGCAAGAGTGTGAAAGATGGTGAGAGTGAAGAGTTACAAACTATGAATGCATTATAATAGAAGCCCATCTATATATGATTAACAATTTCTACTTAATGTAAATATTAAGGCGAGCGAACGTGACGTGAACGTGCTACAGAACCAAGCAATATCGGCAGCATATCAGCTACTATATGTTTACTATATAGTCGTGCATATTGTATATCATGCATAATATCGTTCATCCATAGCCCATACACACACACACACACACACACACACACACAAGCACATGCATACGATTATATACATATACATATATTAATGTGTAGGCGTATTTGAGAAAATATTAAACGTGTATTAATTATAAATATTTTATGTCTTTTTTTTGTATTTGTTCTTAGCGAAATGCAAAAAATATTCATTTAGGATTATAAATATTTAATATTTCATAATTATTAAAACGCATAAACGAAATACAAACTAACAATAACAATAACAATAACAAGAACAAGAAGGGGAGAAAAACAAAACAAAAAAAAAACCGAAAAATCGAACATACAAATAAATGTAAAAGGAACATTAATAAAAATGTGAAAAATCGAAGAGAAAATTGTATGGAAAAATTGTTTATATTTAAGTGCTATAAGTGTGCAACAATAAAAACTTTTATGAATTAATTCACTTGCTGCAACTTAATTCCATTTGTTGCTCGGCATTTTCATTCTGTGAATTGAGGGCTTTCCATTGATTTACGGCCGGGTGTCGGATGCGTGCGTTGAATGGGGGGGGGCGGCGGCGGATGGGAAGGAGGGTTGTGCGAGCTAACTCGACCCTGAAGATTGAGAATTGAATCTTTGGCCCGATATTTATGGCAAGCGCTACCAGGGAACGTGTCTAATTATATTCCATGGAAGCAAATGCTTTGCATTTTTATTTATTTATTTATTTATTTATTTACTTTGTGAAATTTATGAAGATGTGAGCTGACGATTGACCTAGGACGGATTTTTTATATGTATATCTTTAGGATATCCGATTTGGCAAACAAATTGAATGTTCCTAAAATTGTTAAGTAAACACGCCATTTAGTTATAGTCATATGCCTGATCTGGTTGGACTTGTTGCGACTGCGGTTAATGCTTTAAGGATCTAAGCAGGCAGATATTCGAAAAGTTATTAAAGCCACATTTAAAGGTATATATGTATGTTATATTTTAGTTTGATTAACTTTTTGTGGTTAAACGAAGCTCGTTGGGATATAGCTATAATATATATTATTCAAAAATTCTATGAAAAGGGCATTTCTATATAAAGGAATAAAATAGTATAATATAATACAATATCTATCGCATAATATATATATGATATGCATGATGATAATGGTATAAAAATAATAAAAGAGAATGAACTTTCAATTATAATATAATGTAATTTAAATTCTGTTTTCTATTTAATTAACTGGAGCTTGAGGAAGTTATGGGATATATAAATCTATATTTATATGTATCTAGATACATTTTTACCTATCCTTATCCTATCTATCTTTAGTATGCATGAGGCCAATTTTTAAGTATGCCAGATAAATATCGTTAGTAGCAGCTAATCTTCCAACTCACTGTCTCTCTCTCTCTCTCTCTCTCTCTCTCTCTCACTGTCTCTCTCTCTCTCTATTTATCGCTCTTACCATGTGGCACCTTTAAGTCTGTGACAATCGCGCGATCTGCCATGCCCACACGCCTAACATCATATATAGATATATATCTATATATATTTATGTATATATATATGTATGTACATATATTGAACATGGGGGCGTAGTGGGCATGTGCATGCAACGGGAACGCGACAGGCAGGAAACGTCTTTCAATGGAAATGAAAACGAAAATGGAAATGCAAATGCAAATGCAAATGCAAATGCAAATGGGAATGGGAATGGAAATGGGCAGCAAGACAGAGATATGCCCCCACTATGCTCAGGCAAGCCAAGCGCGTCTACCCCTATCTTTGGTATCAGCGGAGCTGACAAAGTTGCTCTCATGGGCGCAATTTGCATTTTGCATTTGAAATTTTTCATTTTGCATTTTGCATTTCGCATTTGTCGATTAACATTGAAAATGGAAATGGCAAGCGACGAACGCCTTTGAATTTATTAATGTTGCTTTTGCAGCTTGTGCAGTTACACAATTAAATGCTTGTAAGGCAACAACATTGTTGTTGTTGTTGTTGTTGCTGTTGTTGCTGTTAATGTTGTTGTTGGCACATCAAAGCGCGCGTTTGGTTTGACCAAGGCAAAATAATAATATAATAAAAAATAAAATGGCGATGCGCCGACTGAAAAACGCGCAAACATTTCTAATGAAAATCCCAAGACAACAACAGCAACAACCACAACAACAACAACAACAATCGACACCCATTGGCTATGCAATGCACGAGCTGTGAGACTTTCTTGTTTGTTGTTGCTGCTGTTGTTGTTGTTGTTGCTGTTGTTGTTGTTGTTGCTGCTGTAGGTTTGCCAATGCTGCCCCCTTGTCTTGACTGCCCAACAGAAATTAATTAGCTGAGACGTGGCATAAATTAGCAAAAACTGAAAGCCAAATACGAAGCGTCGAACACTCGTAGTCTGCCGCATTGCCAACGCTGGCAGCTAACCACGAATCGACTCTTTTTCTATGCTATATGGTCTATGGGCCATACAACTGGCGATCTTACAGACAATCCTTAGCTTATCCCAAAGACAAAATGACAGCGCAGCTTCGTTGATTTGCATCTAATAGCCCGATTGCTTTGTATAATCTCTGGACTCGAATCCCAGGCAACTGTATGGGAGTAACATTGTCTTGGCCAGGGTTTCCTCGAGTAAATGTGAAGTTCCGGGATGCCAAACCATCTGGCAACGTAGTTTACATTATAATCAATTGAAGTTATTTTGTGAATTTATCATTTGATATTCAAGATCCCCAAACAATTTTTGCACATCGAACCACAAGAGTGCGACAGTAGTAAAACGTTACCGACTGCGAGATACGCTTTAGCAAATACCATCGTAGATTTTGAGTGGCCTTTTATAGTAGTTATAGTAATAAAAATGTATGCTATTTTTAATTCAATACAATAAACAAACAAAAAAAAAAAAAAAAAAGTAGTTATTTCATAAGATTGGAGATAGACTTAAATTGCAGAAAATCTATACTTATAAATACAATTATATGAGTATGATAAATAGAATATTTGTATATCTCTATATATAAAACTGTTTGTCCTGACTGACTGACTGACTGACTGACTGACTGACTGACTGACTGAGTGACTGACTGACTGACTGACTGATTGGTGATCAACGCACAGCCCAAACCGTAAGAGCTAGGAAGCTGAAATTTTCACTGTAGCTACCTTATGTGATGTAGGTGCACGTTAAGACGGGGTTTCGGGAAATTCCACCCGCAAGTGTGGAAAAATCGAGAAAAACGTTTGTATGTAACTTTTTTGTTTATCATCCGATCGGCCTCAAACTTATTTTCAAAGATCTTTGTTCAAATTCATTTGAGGGGTGTTTCACACTTTTAGGAAAATCCGTTCCTCCTTGGTGGAAATGGAGGTCAAAGATTTGGTGGATGACGTTTCGCGCTCAAATTCATTTTCAGAGATCTATAAGAAAAATCATTTGAGACGTGTATCACACTTTTCGCAGAATTCAAACTTCTTCGGAGGGAATGCGATTTAAAGATTTTTTGGGCGAAGTTTTAAGATGTGTCCGATTTGCTTCAAACTTATTTTCAAAGCTCTACATAAGAACTTAATAAATACGTATTTTAGCGATTTGAGAAATTCCACCCGTAACAGTGGTAACTTAGCGGAAAACGGTTGTATGAAAGTTTTTTGTTTACGATCCGATCGGCCCCAAACTTATTTTCAAAGATCTTTGTTCAAATTCATTTGAGGGGTGTTTCACACTTTTTGGAAAATGCATGCCTCCTTGGTGGAAATGGGGGTCAAAAATTTGGTGGGTGACGTTTCGCCCTCAAATTCATTTCCAAGTATCTATATGAAAATTCATTTGAGACATGTTTTTCACTTTTCGCAGGATTCAAACTTCTTTGGCGGGAATGCGATTCAAAGATTTTTTGGGCGATGTTTTAAGTTGTGTCCGATTTGCTTCAAACTTATTTTCAAAGCTCTCCATAAGAACTTAATGAACACGTATTTCAGCGATTTGGGAAATTCCACCCGCAACAGTGGTAAATTGGCGGAAAACGGTTGTATGAAAGTTTTTTGCTTACCATCCGATCGGCCTCAAACTTATTTTCAAAGATCTTTGTTCAAATTTATTTGAGGGGTGTTTCACACTTTTCGAAAAATCCGTTCCTCCTTGGTGGAAATGGAGGTCAAAGATTTGGTGGGTGACGTTTCGCGCTCAAATTCATTTCCAAAGATCTATAAGAAAAATCATTTGAGACGTGTTTCACATTTTTCGAAAAAACCTAACCCCCTTCGGTGGAAAATGCATCTCAAAGTTTTTTTTTGTGAATTTTAAGTTTGTTTGATTCCCGTCCGATCAGTTTCAAAATCATTTTCAAAGCTTTTAGAAAACATTAATTTTATAACATACGTGCCACGGGCAAGGCCGGGTTATACCCGCTAGTGTTGTATATATTAATACAGCCAGAAATGTCTCCAACTGAATATGAATTTTGTATATTACCAGGGGCAGCATTTCTTGTATTCTTTCCTCTAAAATACATGTACTTATTCCTAAGTTAAATTAGTATAAATAATAAAAGATCTATTTAACAATGAGAAACGAACAATTTCATGTTCGATTACAGGGCATCAGGCAATCTAGCTTACCCGTTCCGAACTCGAGTGGAAGGTTGAACTGGCACAGCAAATGCCAATTGCCAATTGCCATGTGGCATGTGGCATGTGGCATGTGGCAACGGGCAACACGACTCACGACGCTGCTGCTGTGCTGAGCTATTGTGGCACATGCCACAACTCATTTCGTGTATTTTAAACATGCGACACGACGGCGGCTGCATTGTCACAGCTGCCCCAAGATGCTGACTGCCACTGCCACTGCCACTGCCAGTGCAACTCGGCTGCACTTGAAACTGATAAAGCGTGGAGGAGGATCATATAAAAAAAAACCAAAAGCGGAAGGAAGTGAACATCGGGCGCGAGCAATTGAAATACAAGAACCACTTGAAGCGCTGAGCAGCTGCTGCGCTGCGGGCGCCGAGGGGGCTGCAAGGGCGTGCCCATTAATCCAAATCGTGTCGAGCTGCTGCTGTTGCTGTTGCTGTGGAACGTGATTGCCAATCGATTGATGTATTCGGAATAGCGCCAAGAACGCGTCTATTGAATGGAATTGCTGATGGCAGCGGCGTTTTGGCCATGAGCGTACGCCTGCCCTGCCCAGTGGGCGTGGGCGTGGGCGTGGGTGTGGGTGTGGGTTAGTTTCGAGTTTCATTCACAAAGCGAAAACGTCGCCACATTGGAATGCGACAGGCGTCCGCTTTTGGGGGAGGGAGGGAGGGGGGGGGGGGGCTGTCAATTAGCCAGCGCTGCCAAAATTGGTGGCGCAGCAGCGTTTGATACACTTTGGCATATCGATTGGGCTTCACGATTTTGGACGTTGCGTTTCCGCTGGCCGAGAAACGAGCGACTCGGCGGAAATACGAGAATTGCAAAATGTGCCGTGCGCTGTGGCTTTGGTTTGTTTTTATCATTAAGTCACACACTGTCTATAATTATTCATGAATTGTTTAAACAATTTGAATGCATTACGCGCGTTGGCAACAGCGCAAATGCGTAGCATCCCGAAACGGATGCTGCGCCAGGAAATGATCAACGAGCGCTTCCTGTGCTCAACCCTTATTGTTAGATTGGCTGGGCTGACATTTGGACAATTAAAATAAATGGAAATTCTTGAATTTCCCACGTTCCGAGTGAAATTGAGAGCCCAAACTGGTCTGAACAAAAAAAAATAATATGTTTATTAGGCAGGCAAAATATATTGGAATGTGCTAAATAAAGGCTTATTAAGTATGATAGTATGTTTCAAAGTATTTAAATTAATTTATTTATATTAAAGAAATTCGCTTTCAAATGTGCCTAGATCAGAGATTCGTCAGATAAAAAGATATGTTTATTACATATGAATAATTAAATAAAAAAAATGCACTAAATAAATAATCATAATAAATTTAATATGTTCGATTGAATATAATAGCTTGTTTGGGGATACCAAATTTGAAGATTTAGTTAAAGAATGAATTTATGCATATTTATCAAAGTTTACTCTGCTGGATAGGCATTCGTGCTATTCCCATATTTACCGAGTACAAATGCAATCGATTGTTTTGGAGCAAGATTCAAGAAGCTTTTAAATCGATGTTTGGGAACATGAAAACGAAACAGATACAAGCTCAGGTGTTTGTTGATTCACTATGCAATTTTAGGCTCGGATTGCGTACTTGTTAAGCTTTTCGCTGGGCGTCACGTGGGCGCTGGACGGTGCGCGTCTCCGCTTAGCCGGTGCACACTTTCGTTAAGCAAGGACCGTGACACTTTTCAGCCAAGACACGAACTGCTGGAACATGTGGAATTGAAACGGAAGTGAGCTTTAGTGTTGGATAATTCGCTAAAGGACTTCGACAGTCTCTGAACGAATCTTATAGTCTTTGCGGAGACTACGTGCTATAAGATTTATTTAGAGCAGCATTAAACATTATTTTAAAGCAATGCTTGTAGACACGAAAATGAATCGAAAATAAATGTAAACGCTTGATAATTTTCTAAAGGACCTTATTGTTCGGTTGGTGTACTTGCTAAATTTTTTCGATATGCGTCATGCGCACTTTGAACGGTGCGTGTCTCCACTTAGCCCGAGCACACTTTCGTTAAGCAAATACCGTCACACTTTCAGCCAAGACACGAACTGATTCTACACTTGGAAAAGGAACGGATATTAGCTAAATGGTTGGGGTATTCGCTAAAGAGCTTTAAAGCTTGGCTTGTGAATTTGCTAAGCTTTTTTAGTTTTTTAGTTGAAAAGTGCGTGTTTTTGCTTATCCCGGACACACACTCGTTAAGCAAAGACTACATTTTCTAGCCGAGATACGAACTGAACGAATCTTTTAAGCACATACAAGTGGAGACTTTATAATAAGACATTTTCTAGCCGAGATACGAACTGAACGAATCTTATAAGTACATACATCTGGAGACTTTATAATATAAGCTAATATTTATACCGTATTCATTTATATCGTAAAAAATATTATGAATCTATTTGTTTTATTAATTATTATGTATGCTATTTTGTTTTTTAATAAACCCCATCGCATAGATAGAATATCTAACCTTTTAAACCACATTTCTTATTTATATTATTACTATTCTATGTGTGTTTATATATTTATATATATTTACAAATGTACAATCATGTGCGTGCACTTTTACAGAATTTGTATGTGAATGTGTATGTGTGCATGTACGTGTATGTAAATGCGTATGTGAATGTTAAAGTGTGTGAGAGTATGTGTGTCTGCATGTGTATTTGTGCTTGTGAATGTGTCCATTGTATGTACATATGTCTCATTGTCTGCATGTGTGTATGTGTCAATGTGTGCATGTCTGTGTATGTACGTAATTAACCCGACAGATTGATAAAAAGGCGACATACATCAGAGCTGGTGCACGGTCTGCGACACTGGGGACAGTGCCGGTAATGCTCGAGGGATCTCAGTATGCAGCTCTCGCCGTAAATGTGGCCGCATGGCAGTGCGACGAGCCGATGCTCCCCAGCATCGGTCCACTGCAGCAGGCACACCGAGCAGGACATAACGTTCTCCATGGTGCGCAGCATTCTGTCGAGGGTTAGCTCCAAATCGACGCGCTTTTGCGACTCCTGGGCCAGGTCGTAGTTGAACGCTCGAGTAAGAGCATCAACAGTGGCGACCGTTTCCTGCAACTGGATGCGCAGCTCCTCTCGGACCTTGTCCTTCTTGTCCAATTGGTTCTGCAACACGGCTAATGTTGCGATCGTCTTCAGCTGTGGCGGCTCCTTGTTAACCGTCAAGCGGGCGTGAATCTGCTGACCTTGCTCAAGCAGAAGGTCCAACTGTGTCTTCAAGCTGGCGAATAGCGCACCACCGAGCAGGGTGCGGAAATAGCCCTCCACCTTCTCGGACGAGGCCGCCATGAACGTCTTCTCCAAATTGGTTTTCGACAGCTCCATCTTCACATTGCCAAGCTCGGTTCGTAGCGCACTGCACTCCACTGTCAGCAGCTCCATTTTCCCTTTAAGCTCGGCGTTTTGCTGAGCCAACGTCGGGCGCAGACGTCTACGCTTGGCCGATGGAGCCTGTTGTTCTTGTTGTTCTCGTTGTGGTTGTTCATCATCTGGATTATAACCTGAGTCCATTATTGAGTTGCGCTATGGATTTTTAATATATATAAATAAATAATGAAAATACAAGAATAAATAAAAAAAATTTAGAAAACTTACGGAGGTCTTCGACCGACTAGGAAGTAAATTGTAATGAGACCTGAGCGAGATGCAGAGCCCAGCTCCTGAAAAAAAGCTCCAGTATTGCCAGGCAAATTAAAAATTAATGAACAAAAATTTAATTAATTTAAAGAACCCATTTCGGAAAGCTGGGAATGTTGAGAGGACTGACAAGACAGTGTGACCCTATCAAAATTTGAAATTCAAAAAGCCACGTCAGCTAAGCCAATAGAATTGAACGGGACAGGGGCAGGGTCAGCATTAAGAAGCTGTCATATGTATTATGCAGCTTTGATTCCTTTAAAATCGCCTTGCATTAAATCCAAACTCAGACGCCGTGGAGCGTGGTAGGGAACCCTTATGCCCCAGACTCAAGCCTTGTGGGTTTTGTCGCCCGCCGTTTGGCGTCAGGTGGCGAAATTAGCGCGATTTCCGCCGCAAGTTTCTGGGGCCGGAAAACCCCGTTAACGAGCAAAAACTATGGCAATGGCAACAATGGAAATGCTGGCGACCAACTTGCTAAATCACCGAAAGCCGCATCTTTAGCATCTTAACGGCCAATTTAGCGGGTAACAGCAGCAACAACAGCAACAACAACAACAACAATAACAAAAACAACAAACGATAAGCTGCAGCAATGGATGCACATAAAGGACAACAACTAAGACAAAGCGCAGATAATAATAAAAGATAATAAAACAAACGAAATGTCTGTGTGCGCGTGTGTGCCATTGGCAAGAAAAAAGCCCCCACTGCCATCCCCAACCATAGATCAGGACGCTTCTTGGCCTTGGCCCACGCTGTGGCGGCTGCCGCCCGGCCAAGCTAAATAAAAACACTTTGGGGAACAATAGACGCCCTCCCCGCCCCGCCCCGCTCTGCTCCCTCATCAGCACTCTGAATGTGTAAAAGGCAAAAACTTTGCGCAACACCTCTCGGCGTCCCGTGAGCGCCGCTAGGTGGCAGCCGAAGGAGCCATGGGGCAGGGGCAGGGGCTGTGGCAGACGCCGCTGCTGGGCGTTTGTCATTCTTTTGTAATTTAGCGAGCCCTGGAGCCAGCACAGACTCCACTTGCCTCCAACCAGCAAACGCTTCATTATCTACTTGCCCCAACCCCTAGCTCATTGTCTATGCCCAGAGACCCCTCCCCCCTTCCCCCTTCCCCATTCACCCCTCCCATTCAGCTCATACAGCCCTCCGCCGCGTTGCTTGTCTAATTTCGCGTGCCGCAACGCACAATTACACCAAGAACACAAGAGGGCAGGCGCCGCCACGTCCAGGTGAGCAGTCAGAGCAGCTCAAGTGGGTTCGAGCAAAGGGCAAGAGTTAGTTCCGTATTCTTAATACTCTACGACGCATGCAAATCGTACGAGTACAAATTGGTAATTGGGGATACTCTTCCTTTAAGGGTCATCCAGATGGAGTTGCACAAGTTGTTCCAGCGCGAGAAAACCTTGGAAGTTACATTGGAATTCTGAATACCGTCTTAGTAGTTAGTATGTTTTTCAGACTTATCCAATTTATCTTGACATAGCTCTACTTAAGTTTTTCTATTAAGAGATTCAGGATTATATTCCGTACAAACCATGCGAGTAAGATTGGAATGTTGAATACTCGTCTTAGTAGTTGGAATGCTCTTTAAAATTCAGACAATTTCATAACATTTTGAACTAATTCCGTTCCGAATTATAACCATGCAAGTTAAGTTGCATGTTTTTAAGAGTTACCCAATTAATCCTAACAGCTCTCCTTAAGTTCTTTCATTTAGAGACTAAGGATTGTATTCCGTTCCGAATTATAGCCGTGCGACTTAGATTAGAGTAAGATTAGAATGTTGAATACTCTTCTTAGTAGTTGGTATGTTTGTTGAGAATCATCCAATCTAGTCTGACATAGCTATCCTCAAGTTTTTCCAGAGTAAGGATTCAGGATTCTAGTGCGGGAAATATTAAAGTTTTGAATACTTGTGTTGGTCGTTTAGAATGAAGGGATTCCCCCGTTTGTGTTTCAGTACTTGGATTTTATTACTTTTGAGTATTGCATTTCGTGTCTTTTTTTGCGGTGCATCTTCCAACTGTGTAGACGAGTAGGTTACATTAAAAAAGAGTTGCGCGAATGGAATCAAAAGCGATTAGATAGGTGGGAGTCTACATATCCAGCTCGCGGCGACAGCTTTGATTTAGTGCACTCTCGAGGCTATTGCGATAGGCAAGCAGAGGTTCCCATCCATTGGGGCAGCTAGTGGGCCGGTCCCTGATGCTGCTGGCATCGAGATAATTGAGCACATCCAACATATCCTCGGCAAGCAGCTGCGGCACAAACTGCCTGAGGACCTTCAAATAGAGCAGATTTGCGGGCACCTCGGCTAGATCTGTCGACCATTCCGTGGCGTAACGTATGCCAGCTCGATGTAAAATGAGCACAGCCGGACGAGACTTGATAAGGTTCTGGCTCAAGAGATCCCCGAACAGCCTGGCCATATTGATCAGCTTGGCGAACTGGGCCGAGTCGGCCGCCTGGACAGGGCTCGCATGGTCTGCCCGAATGCGCTTGTACACCAGCAAACATGTGTGCATCAGGGCCATGCCGAAGTTGATCATATTGATGGACATGCATCGCTCCAGGGTGGCATGCAGAATATCGCCGAAGGTTGCATGAAACTATCGAGTACATGGATCACTGGAGGCGTACAAGTGGGTCGATGCAATCTGGTCTGCTCACCTGCTCGTAGTGCTGGAACACAGCGGAGGCACGCAGCACGGGTATGATATTGTTAAAGGCCAGCTTACAGAAGCCGGCCAGGACGCGGCGCTTGCTCTGGAGTGTGGCTAGCATTTGCCCATCGCTGGCCTTGGCGACACTTCCGTCTCCGTTGAAGACATACCGGAGCACAAAGTTCTCCAGCGTTTGCAGCTCGCATGTCGATGACTTGTACTCCAAAGAACGAAGCGCATTGTTGCCACTGCGACGCAGTGTATCCGCGAACAGAACCAGAAGATCGCAGGCGGAGACGAAGGCCTAAAGGGGAATCAGTGAGCAAAAGTCAAGCGGAAAATTAATGCTACTCACCTCGCAGCTGATGCTCACGTCGCTGGAGCACTCAATTATATGAAAGGCGGCTAGGAAAAACTCTTCGAGGTGATCGCCCAGCACGAGGCAGTCCTCATCCACATACTTGCCAGCGCTGACCGCCTCCTGGACGCGCTTCAGATCCCAACAGATGGCCACATAGTATATCTCCAAGCAGAGTCGCACAGCCTCGTCGGGCAGTGAAACCTCCGCTGCTTTGTTCTCGTCCCGAATGGCACGCTTCAGGCTGGTCAGCACGGTGTCCGTCAGCTGATACTCATGCAGGTCGAAGCGTTCGTATAGTGCCGAGATGAGGCGCAGTGCGACAAGGAGACGCTTGTTGCACACCTTGAAGCGGGAATGCTGCGAACTGATAACTGCCTGCTGCCAGGCGCTCTCTGCCTTCATGTAGCTGACCACCGCCTTCTCCAGCAGGTCCTTGCGGTAGTTGGGCATCAGAGCTGGGCACTGCTTGAACAGCTGCTCCAGCGCCGTGGCGCCCCTTTGCAGCACCGTGAAATTGCTGTGCTTGAACATTAGCGATTTGATCAGGTCGATCAGCTCCTGGGCCTGTGCCTGCGAGCAGGTCATGTGCGGCGGCAGCTCGAGCAGATGCTTGATGTCCACATAGTCGATACGATATTGGCGCAGCAGTGTGGCCAGCGCGGGCAATATAATCTCGGAGGCCTGCTTCGTGGCATCTGGCATGGGCTGGCGCAACAGGGTGTTGGTCGAGCGACCGGGCGGTAGTTCGCCGGTTACCGCCTGCTTGACGCCGATTGTCAGAATCTCAATAATCACAGAGGTTTGCTGGCTGGTCAGGGTTTCCGGCTTCAGTAGCATGTCCACCATGGTGCTCCAATCGAGCACGATTTTGCTGCGACCATAGAACGCGTCGACCAGATAAGCGGCATGCTCCTGTCCCTCGAACTTAATAAAGAACTGCACCAGGGCCTGGACACGATCACGCTCTGTGGCCGCATGCTGAAAGCGATGCTGCAGCAGCTCCGCCGATGCCTGGGCCACGCCGCGTTTGGTAGCAAACACCAGCTGCTCAATGATATCAATCATGTGCACATCGAGCAGCTGCGGCATCGCCCTGTGGTAGCGTACCAGCAGCTGTATGGCCATCTCGGACAGCTCGGACTCGGGTCGCATGCTCAGGCTCAGCAGGGTCGTTCGGAATTTGTAGCCCAGCTGGAGGCAATTGAGCCGCAGCTTTGGCTTCTTCTGCAGATTGATGAGCGCCCGCAGGCTGGACTCGCACACCTTCCGGGAGCTATCCTGCAGCGCCTCGAACAGATGCTGGGCTTGCATCGGATTGATGTAGCACTGCGGAAACTTGTGCAGCCAGAGGCCGCACTCGGCAATGCACAGAGCACGTATGTCCTCGACCTCATCCCGCCGCCGCTTGAGGAACACCTCGTCGAACATCTGCATCCACAGAGTGCGCAGCTTGTCCTGCTGCAGCGTCATTAGATCGCTCAGCGTTGTCATCATCTTGAGTGCTGCAAGGACATGCAAGGACTGTACCCGAAGATCTAATCAATAGATCAATAGATCTAAGCCTGTCTCCATACCAATCAAGGTGCTGGTATGCCGCAAGGGTAGCACATCCGAATCTGATGCGACCACCAAAAAGCCAGAGATGTGCCTCACAAAGCAATTATCCAATATTATGGCCGTGCTTATGACAGCGTGCATCAGCTGGTGTACAAAGTGCGTCACGTCCATGGTTAAGGCGTGCGACGCACGCGTTATCAGCGGATAACGAGGGCATTTCTGCATATGAGAAAAAAAATTGATATTAGGTAAACAATTAAAGATCAATTAAGATCAAAATTTAGATCAAAACTTTTATTGAATACGTATGCATCATATCTATAAGGTTTTCAAAAACTGTAAAGAGCCTTACTTATATAAATAAATCATTTTTCTATGTAAATGAACATATCTTGAGAACAAATTTAATAGACGTTCAAAATTATAACCTCAAACAACAAGTGAAAAAATCTTCAGAAAAATGAATAGCTATTTAAAAAATAATAATAATCTCAACAAAAATTTAAACTAGATACAATTTCGAAGATTTGATAAAATAATCAGATACAATTA